AATCAGTCCATCAGGAGCATTCTAAAAGAAATTCCAGCAGACCAACACAGGGATGGTCTTACCCATTCTGGGTCATTCTGGAAGAGATATTTCACTGTAGGAAGACAGAGACCCTGGTGCAATCCAGTCACTGGCAGCCTATAAAGATTTCTTTATTAAACTGGGACCCAGCAACTTTCTACAAAGCTTTCGTAGCATCCGTAAATCTGACAGACTTGAAAAAGGAATATCGCAGCCCTAGAACTGTGGCTGCCAGAATTTAATGTCAACAATTAAAATTTATTTTGATTCTTACCTACTGTTTATTACTGTTTGTATACACAACAGACCTTACTAATACAGAGATGCACTATTAGATGGAATTACCATCTGTTCAGAGTGAAACGCTGGCATCTGTCTTAGATGCTAAAACTAAAATGATATTATTTCTAACAAAACAAAATTAACTGCTTTTCCTCACTGACTTTAATCTTGAATGTACCGAATCTTGGATGCACCGAAAAACAAGACTGGCTGGTAAAATATGTAATGACCTCTGTTGTGGGGTCTGTATGCAGGTATGTGACTTTAGCAGTGGCTGTACTTGGCCTTGTTGGCACACAGAAGTGGCATTCAGAATTCACATTTTTTAAATCTGTGTTTTAGCTTTATAAAGTACTAATTATAGTCAGGCATTAAAACAACACCATTATAATTTGTAAAAACGGAATCAGAGAGACTGTAGGATGCAAAATATTTTGATGGATGTGCCCTAAATATGTGCAGGGAATGAAATTAAATAGACCAAAAAAAAATCATCTGAACCAAATTGCCATAGAGTCCACAGTGATGCCTGTAGGAAAATATAAACCATATCTCCTCTGTGAAACTATTTTTAATTTTATCTTACACTGACACATATAAAAGATTTATATCCAGCACCCCTGTCTATTCTCAAGCCTCAGTATCCTATAAAAAAGGTCTCTAGAAGTCAGAGAAATGGTAATACCAAGGACAATGGTAGTTTCCATATGGATGTTGAATCAGTCAGTGACGCTACATTCTGAGCAGCCAGCCTTCAGTTCTCTGTGTCACCAAATAATAAATTGCGTCACACCGGCATTTAATGCATGTACACAGTGCATTAACTGTAACTGTAGTACATTTATTTGTGCTGGAGGAGACTTGAAAATGATGAAAAAATCAATACGTTGCTGTCAGAGAAGCAAGTGTTACGATGCATTTAAGTAGTTAATTGCAGACGCCCCATAAAAGCTTCAGGTTTGGGTAGCAAGAATGTCATAATTACAGTCCATGCCACTGCCTGTTATCAATGGTGGCCTTCGGGGAACGCACCCTCTGCCTCCATGGCCCCGGCTCCTCCTCTCTCTTCCTCTCTTTTCGCGTCCACGACTGTTGATCATCAGGATGAGGGGCATTGAGACAGGGTGTACTCACCAAGGTGGTGATGTCCCAGAAAGTCCATGAAAGCAGGGCTTTCTGCTTGTCATTATGTCAGACAACACAGAAAAAAACATCTTATTTACACACCTTACTAGGGCCAAGGGACAAGTTGGCTTTGTATTAAAGGGGGTAAATGAATGGAGGGGTTCGATGTCCAGCACGCCCCCTGGTTTACTGATGGAGAAGCAGTGCCCAACAGGGTTCAAGCACAGAACTTTGAAGCTGGAAGGGACACTAGAGTACTCAAGCCCACTGTGCTCCTCAGCAGATGAGGTATTGCAGGTCTGGGAGGCCACGTGATGGATCCGCCCGTGTCCTGTACAGAGGGACTCAAGGTGCCAGCCAAGTACCTTAGTTTTCTCCTTTTCCAGATCAGTGTTACTATACCTATTCCTTTTGAAGGAGACTCATGCATAAAGCAGGAAATGGCCAAATGGATTTTGTTTTTCTTTCCCCTTATCCGAGAATAGATGGTCAGTGAGGTAACACTGAGTGATCTCTGAGAGTCTGGGGGCCGAAACTTGACATCTCCTGCTCACTGAGGGGAGAGCAGTTGAAGTGGGTCAGTTGCCAGCGGTTTCTCAGAGAAAGAGGCAAAATCATTTTCTGTTGACACAGGGCCTGAGGACGTCTTACGTTAGTCTGCTCCCCACGCACTCCTGAGATGCGGCAAGGCTGTTTTCATAATGCAAAGTTGATGATGTTGGAAGACATGGTCACGCGGTCTTCATAGACAACAAACTCTTTCTTGGAACCAAATAAATAGATTTGTTTTTAAAGACCTGTCATCAGCCAGAGTTTCTGCTCATTTAGCCTTCAGTTCTTACCCAATGATGTTCCAACTCCACACTACATAAATTTTGCAAGTGTAAATTTATGCATAATGATATGCTATTAATCAGATTATAAAGTAATAAATGCTGCCTAGAGAAGAATATATATTATCAAGTATTTTATAAAAGACTACTTAGGAAGAAAAGAGACAGAGCAGAAATTGGATTACGGAACTATTGCAAACGAGACAGGAACATTGTAATTTTATTCCAAGTAAAAATAGACATTGCATGTTGTTATCCTTTGACATGATGAATATTGAAGTTCCATTTTATACTTCACATGCGTAAGAAGATTTTCTAAGTAAATACAGATCTTGAATGTGGATGAACTGTATTCTTTTATCATATCTAATTTGAAAGATCTGTTGTTGGGTTGGAATAACTGTGCTTTTAATTGATACAGAATTTTGCTTTGTGAAAGCTAAAGCAATTATATATATGGTTTTAAAATGCAGTTTTTGTGAAAATAATCTGTTGAAAATTCATCCTCATGTCATAGATGGGAAAACTGAGGCAGCTATGTTTGAAGTGATTTTTAAAAAATCATGCAGAATTAGACATTAGGAAGTGAAATTAAATCTTTAAAATTCTTCAGTGCCCTTTCCATGATTCTGTCGAGCCATTTCCATGTTTTCTCTTAATTTGCTGATTTGAGGTTAACTAATTTATACCTGTAATCCACTCACTTTGATATCTGACAATCTTTTATTTCCTTTTCTTCTAGTGATTTTGTCTTGGTGAACATGTGTTGAATAATTCAGGAGTATCTGTTTTTCTTCCCATCACCTTATGTATGTGTGCGTGACCAGTCTAGTTTAATGGATTGAAAGTCCCCACTCCGGTCTCAGGGGAACTCAGAGAATGATGACTCAGTAGGGTGCTCACTTTTCAGACAGGCTGGCTTATCTCTTCCAAGTGAGAATGCAACATGCCAGCCGGAACTTTGTGTGGTTTTGTTTTATGCTTTTTGTGCTTTTTTAAGCAGGGAATTAAAAAAGATAATCTAGTTTGACTTCTTTTCTGTAGTTCACTTCCTAAGAATAGGCTAATTGCTGGGTAGAAGAATTCCCCTGTGAATCTAAGTTCTCCACTACTTGTTAGAGTTCAAATACTCAACATTAATTTTAGTGTTGGAAGTGGAAGAAATCCATTCTGAGATCCTGTACTGTGAATGGTTGGTTGAGCTCTTGATGTTCTCTTAGAGGTTCCTCGAACTATCTTCATTTTTTTTCCTGCTGCTCTGATTGGTCACCTTCCACTGATCTCTCCCCTACATCTCTGATCTGTTCTGTGTTAGCTAGTCTGCTGGTAAATCCTTCTAATGTGTTTCTCTCTTCCTTTTTAAAGAAAAAATTAATTATCATATTTGTCATATCTGCTCAGTTTTTTCTTACACTTTTTCTTCAGTGAAATTCTCTATAAATTCCTCTCTAGTTTGATGAGCATCCTTACGACCATTTCTTTGAATTCTTTATTAGGCAAGTGACTTATTTTCATTTCCTTAGGGTTTACTTCCTGGGGATTTTTCTTGTTGCTTCATTTGAGAGATATTTTTCTGAGTTTTCATTTTGTTTGACTTTTAACAATGCTTATAACAATGAGACAGGATAGCTGTGTCTCCCGGTCTTGGAAATGTGGCCTTCCGCAGAAGCTGGCCCTGGGTAGACGGTGTGAGCCGGATGATTTGGACAGGCTGATAGGAGCTGGGAGCAGGTGCCTAAAGTGTGCTCTGCTGGAGCAGTGCTGGGCAGAGAGGCCTGGTGCCCCTGTAGAAATGCCCATGGATCTTGATTGCCCCTTGTTTTGGTGCAGTGGGTTTCTCAAGGTCTTGCAGGCAAGTTGGAGCACCTGGCTAGAGAGCCCACCCACTCTGTGCAGGTGGACGTTATTGAGCTGCTCTGATCTGGGGAACTCCCGCAGCTCGTAGAGAGTTCTGTGGGCTCCTTCAGCCTTCTCTGTAAAACCTCTCTTTTGTTGTTGTAGCCAAAGTGGCCCCTTGTAGAAGGGACCTGTGTGTGGAAGAGACCATGCACCAGGTAGTCTCTTCTGCCCTAGGTCTCTGGGAGCTGGGTCAACGCTCACAAAGCCTGGGGCACCAGCCGGCAGGGTGGGCGGCCCTGCAGAGGGGGGCCCAGTGTGAGTGCTAATGCCCTGTTGCTCTGGCCCGCTGCTGCCTTGGCTCAGAGGCAGGAGGCTACAGGGAAGGTAGCTGTGGAGAAGAGGCTGCATGATCTTGCAGGTAAGTCAGAGCTGCCCCCATAGGGCACCTGCACCCTGAGTAAGGCAGAGGGGAACTAGACAAGGACGCTTTCGCTCCTGTGCTGGGAGAGCTGCCTGGCGTCCCAGCTCAGGCCCTCTCTCCCCTCTGCCTTTTCTCTCCTTTGTTGTCAGGACCTGGCCTCTCACTGCCCGGTTGTCTCAGGAGCAGTCGCGGTCTCTGTACGTGTATGTTTCATTTTGCGTTTTGCTCATGGAAGGGGGTGAACTGAGCATTCCCTGAGCCACTGCCATCTTCTGTTAGTCATTTAACTCTTTGTTTCCATCTCAGATGAACTCTTTTCTTGTGTTTGTAGTTCGTAGAACTGTATTGCATACTTGAGAGCCTTGCGGATTCGATTTTGAGTGTGAAATGCACAAGGGCATGTGCCCACGTGTGTGCGGACCCGTGTCTAGAGACAGCACCTGAATTCTCGAATGTGACTGGTGTTTTCTAACCTTCAGCACCAGCTGGGCTGCGGCCTCCTCTGCTGGAAGCGGTCAGCAGCACCACCATCAGCGCCCGATGGCTGCCACCTGAAGAACTGAACGGCCCTTCTCCGGTCTATCAGCTGGAAAGGAGAGAGCCCTCTCTCCCAGCCCCGGGGGCAAGGATGGTGAAGGGGCTGCGCTTCACGGGACACGGGTACTGCAGGTTTCCCAGCTCCACCCACCCCATCAATACGGACTTTACAGGTAAGCGGGTTTGACCTCACTTTATTGAAGAGGCTCAAAGACCTGAAATGTTTTGTATTATTTTGATATCCCTTTTGCAATGAATTTTTACTGTGCCTGTTTATAGAAATACTAATTCAGCCCTTTGATGGATTTAGCTCGAGTGTTTAGTGAAAATCTCTATCTTTTTTGAATGGGGGTGGGGGCTGGTATAAGTGGAGGAAAGAAAAGAAAAAACAGATGTGGGAAGGCTGTCTTCTTGGGCCAAAGCATGTGCTGAAAATGGTTCTTGGACATAAATTACCAGCCATTTTTATCAGAATATTATTCACTGGCTCTGTGGGAAAGTTCCTGGGGTGGATGAGTATGAGGACTGCCCCCATGCTCTTGGCGGTTGTCAATATCCCTGTGGTTATGGAAGCTTCTAGAAAAATATAAGAAAGCTCTTTATCTTTGTTCAGATAAGTATTCCTAACACTTACGGGATGTCACTTAAAAATAAAAAGTAGAACAACTTGTTAATACTGCCCTGTTCCGTGGAGACTATTACAAAAAAAAATGTTATTTCAGGAAAAATATACCTTCCACGAGCCAGTGCTAGAGTGAGGAATTCTGTAATTCAGACACTGAATTTAAAAGCAGCAGAAAACTCAATAATCAATATAAATAATATCTCTGTGCAATAATTTTTAAAGTGAAAATCAATGCAAAATAATCGCCAATAAAATATCAAAAATGTAAACAGAAACAGCACCCAACCCTGCCTCATTTTCTCCTCCAACTCCTGGTCTTACCATTACCACAGGATTCTGGACGTCCTGTTACCTCTATGACTTACGGTATCTAAGACCACGGCTTCACTGTAGACAGAGAAAACTGTAACTCTTGATGATTCCTACTTCACTTTCCCAATTTCCAAAGCATAGGATCTATATTATTCTGCAAACTCACAATGCTGTTGATTTACTCAGTGAGAAAGTCATTCTGGAGCCAAGAGCTCACCTTTAAAACGGTGTGTGGGTCGAGGGCAATGAAATGGAATTTGCATTATGAAACATAGCTCCAATGTCATTGTTTTCTTTGCACCTAAAGTAGCAAACAGTTCGCTGCTGAGGTACGTTTGTAATGAATCATGATGGCCCTCCAGCTGAGAGATGTTGTGATTAATGAATGCTTAAGTACTGGCCCTGGTACACCGGTATCTTCCGTGGGAGTTAGAAAATCAACCACTGAGCTCCTAGATGCTAACCTTCTGCTTAGTATTTCTAAAAGTCAAACAAACAAAGGAAAAGAAAAAAACGACAATTATCTGGAAAAGAATCTAAGGATTAAAAGTGAGCCCTTTTTTGAAATGGAACTGGAAACCACCACTCTGGCGCTCCTACACACGACTCATGATGTGCTTCTTTGAGGGGACTGCATCCATTTCCCGCACCTGGGGACAGCCCAGCAAGCATGTCAGCTTGCATTTGCTGCCTAGCCAGCAGACAGATTTTTGATGGGATCACCTCCTGTTGCAGAGCGAAAGATAGAGTGGCATGTCCTCCGTTAATACATTTAGTCGTCTGTGCGGTCTCTCTAGCGGGCCTTACACTCTGAGGGGCAAGGGCTTGGGGCAGATGCGGCGTCTGGGAAGGTTTCCAAATTCTGCTTTAAAAAAGTTAGGCCGTTAGCACCGGCCTCTCGAAAACAGCGTCCTTCTGTCTATAACGAAGCCTCCAGCTGCACGGAAAATGTGTTTGCAGGGCACTTCACTTGAAGGACGGGGCAGGGAGATCACGGTTTTGGCTTGAATGGCTCCCTGCAGTTTTGGGATTCCGGGGAAGAAGAGATTCTTCTGCACTGGGGCGTTTTCTCCGGCAAGGCTGGCTCCTTACAGTAGCAGCTTCATCTTAATGTTAAGGCTCTCTTTTACTTTAAAAGTAATCAGTCTACATCGAGTTAGTGCATATGTTTCTTTAAAAAATTACTTTTCAATGACAGTTGACATTCAATATTATACTAGTTTCTGGTGTATAGTGTAGTGATCAGAAACTTAGATAACTTACAAAGTAATCCCACTGATAAATCTAGTACCCACTTGACATTGTACATAGTACGATAGTATTGTACTTGCACTATTATTAACTATATTTCCTCAGTTGTACTTCACATCCCTGTGACTGTTTTGTAACCGCCAATTTGGACTTCTTAATCCCTTCACCTTTTCTCTCCCAGCCCCCAACCCCCTGCCATCTGGCAACCATCCATTTGTTCTCTGTATCTATGAGTTCGTTTCTGTTTTGTTTGTTCATTTATTTTGTTTTTAAGAGGCCACATATAAGTGAAATCATATGGTGTTTGTCTTTCTGTGACTGACTTATTTCACCTATTATAATGCCCTCTAGGTCCATCCATATTGTCCCAAATGATGCGATTTCAATTTTTCACAGCCAAGTAATATTCTGTTGCATACATGTAACATTTCTTCTTTATTTAATTTCCTATTGATGGTAGCTCTCGTTGCTCCTATATCTTGGCTGTTGTAAGTGATGCTGCAATAAACATAGCATATATCTTTTCAAATCAGTGTTTTGTAGTCTTCAGATAAATACCCAGAAGTGGGATTGCTGGGTCATATGGGAATTTCAACTTCTTTTTAAAGATATTTTATGTATTTATTTTTAGAGAGAGGGGAAGGGAGGGAGAAAGGGGGGGGAAACATCAATGTGTGGTTGCTTCTCATGTGCCCCCTACCGGGGACCCGCCTGCAACCCAGGCATGTGCCCTGACTGCGAATCGGACTGGGGACCCTCTGGTTTGCAGGCTCACACTCAATCCACTGAGCCACACCAGCCAGGGCTCCATCTTGAATTTCTTGAGAAACCTCTTCACTGTCTTCCATGATGGCTGCACCAGTTTCCAATCCCACTAACAATGCAGGAGATTCCCTTTTCTCCACACCCTCACCAATACTTGTTTGTTGATTTATCAGTGATAGCCATTCTAGGTGTGAGGTGATACCTCATTGTTTTGATTTGCATTTGTCTGCTGATTAGTGACACTGAACATCTTTTCACTGAACATCTATTGGCCAGACCATCCCTATGTCCTCTTTGGAAAAGTGTCTATTAGAGTCCTCTGCCCTCAAGTTATTGTTTGATTTTCCGGCCCAGTTGGTGTGTTTGGTGGAATAATTTGATTAAGGTATGCCATGGTTTAATGAAGTTTGCCCAGTTAATGAACTGGACAATTTTACCAGGACAACTCATGGCTTTTCTTAACCATGCATCTTCCTAAATAGAGGGTAAGCTTATAATTAGCAGCTTCCATTTGTTTTACCTACATACCCCCTCATCCAATCCCCTTATTGCTCTGTAAGAGAGGTATTTTTACCCTTGTGGTGTGTAGGAAATGAGGCCCCGATAAGTGGGTTTTCCACCATACTACAGCTACTGAATGTCAGGATGGAAGTGTAAATCGGAGGCTCTTGCTTCAAAAGCTGGTGCTTTGCCATGGAAATGGGCCAGAGCACATGTGGACAGTTCCTGGGAAGTTGTGGATTAAGAAGTGTTTAAAAGTAGTAGACAGGCTGGGAGTTGAAATAGTGATCACCCAAATTTTTGTACCCAGCACTGTTACCCTTTTTGGATTTGTTTTCCAGTTGTGAGGTTTTCAGGTAACAAACTGTAAATGGTGTTGCTGTTATTTATTTGGAAGCTCAGAAGCAATTGGAGAGCAGCTCCCCACCCCGCCCCCAGAGAAGTTAATTCCAAAATGTTACTCAAAGCTAGTATATAACATCTAGTAAAATTATTTTAAATGGGCCAGTGTATTGTGAGTCAGATGGTCCTTTCAGCTCACATTCCTGTATGTTTTATGCAGTTTTCATATTCTGAGGCAAAATTAATGAGCAAATCCTAGGAATCTCTAAAATGATGAGTTATATTTAGAAAGTGAATAAGTACAAATAGAACTTAGATGGTTTTTATTTTGAATTATTTATTTTAAAATCTCAGACTCCTAAGTAAAATGATTCTTGAATTTTGAATGGAGATCTTCAAATAACATTAAAAAACAAATATATAATGTTTATTATTTTATATGTGAGAAATATCAGATTTAACCCATCTACGATAAGATTTATAAATACATGCATAACTTATTACATAGTCATGAGCAAAGTATTAAAAGTCTCAGTACAGAATCTAATTTTTGCAGTTCAAGAAAGGATCTCTCTATATAACTCACCCTTCTTCCTTATTTGCTTGCAATATCTTACCTCATATAATTAAAACAATTCAAATATATGAATATGGCCTAACATGTTGCTTAATATTATAAATTATTAAGCTTAGTATTATAAATGAACTGTGTCAAAATCTATCTTTTCACAGGAATATAACCAGATGAACTTTTTTTTTTCCTTATGTGACCGTTTACTCCTTTCCAATTCAGTGTTCTTTTAAAAGTTGAATTTCCAGGAAAGCTGTGTTATCAGTCATTTACATTGTAGTATAAATTAAAGACTGTATATTGACTCCCTCTCTTTTACATGTAACTCTTTTACATGATTGAGGGTGAGGGCTTTGGGATCAGACTGATAATTTTCAGATCCAGGCTTCATTATTTATCAGCTAAATGTAATTAGACAAACCACATAACCATTTTTGTGACTGTTTCCTTTTCTTTAAAATTAGGATAATAATGCTGTGTACTATATACATATCTAGCAGATAGGAAAAGACTAAAGGAGGTAGCCCACCTTATAAACTTGGCACACTGTCTGCCATACACATTACTTAACAGTCATTAAACATTAGCTGTTACCTATTACTTACTGAACAAATATTTATTAAGTGCCAGCAATGAGACAGGAGTTGTTGTACGTCATCTGCAATTTATAAAATCAACATTCTGTTAATTCACTTGCTATCACATAGGCAACATACAGTTGCCTGTATGTTGCCTATGTGATATTTGGGGTATAAATTAATATGCAGTATTCTCTATTACTGTGAGATATTTAATTGTGTCACTTA